CAGAATTATGTTGTTCGAGAATCAGCAACTTGCTGCTCGTTTTTCTGCTGCTTGCACTGAAGCAATTTGGATATAGAGTGAATTTCTTACTCAAGGGAATTCATTGTTAAGACAAAGATTGTCCCTTGTACGGTTTCGAACCTCCCACTTACTGAGTTTGAAACGACCTCTTTGCCGTTGTGTCACCGCACCTTATGTAGCATGATAAACTGGCAGTTGTCTCTACAGAGGTTCTGTCATGATGATGATTATGTTTTCGGTAAGGTCGCGAAGAGCGTTGATAGCTAAAGTTTTACCATGGGTTTTGTTGGGTGCCCTCAGCCATGGACCATCAAATTAGCTACAATTTCATCAACGGGCTAAAAATTGAAACTGCCAAATCATTACCGCTTTTTGACTTATCGTTGTCATGGTTGCTTCAAGAAGCACAAGCCGACGCTCCTCCAGTATTCTTCATTCCCCGCGTTATGCCTCAATCGTTGATCAAGTAAAATTTGACCATCGTTTTGTTCCAGCATGTTCTTGTGCTAACAACAGAACCCAGTTTCTAACTTTGTATTGACAGTGTCAAACTGTACCTGCTAATTTTCATAATGGATGATCCATACAATGCTCTAAACATAGTTCATCCATTACTAAGGTTTTTCCACTCCTTTCGTCCCTCTAATTACTCAGATGGACAGGTTATTTTTACTATTATGCAGAGGGGAGAATCAGCGTATGATACTGATTGAGTCATTTGATGCGATTGTAAGAAAGTAGTCATAATAAAATCATGGTTTAACATATTCGTGATGAGCAGTAAGTTTTCGCTGAAAAGTTTTGCTTTCAAAAACTGTTTTTCCTGTGTAAGGCATAAAATAAATTGTTTTTTAGTTAAAGCATCGTACAGTTGGTCAGTTGGTCACTTTCTATTACTTTTGGAAGAAGACGGAACGTCACCATAAACTTGTAGAAAATGCGTCGTACGCAGAAATGCTGCATCGAAAGAAAAAGTAGGGACAGTGTTATCGGATGTTGATTTGCACTTTGATTAGTATCGAAAATTTTTGTCTCCTGTCCTGAAAGTTTGCTGCTTTGAACAAGTTGGTCCGGGAATTCTGTGTCAAATTAGATAAAAAATGAAAAACATGAAGGTTAAATAACAGATAAGCAACAACAATATCAAAACAAACAAATAGTACTGTAGAAAAGCTACAAAAATTCCGTCATCGCCGACATATTGGCCGTCCAATTGAACAGATTTGCTGTATTCACCTCTTTGTGAAATTTCTGCCATAAAAGCGCCTGGTACCTGAACGTCAAGTAGGATGTCCGGTGTCTACGGTTGTGCAAATGACATTAAACATCAGTATTACAGTGACGCCTTTATATAAGGTGACAACCCGCGCTGCTCGATCGGACGTGGGATCTAATGGTGCTTGACGGGGCTAAACAGCAGTTTTGTTTAACGGCAAGTTGCACTCACCATGACCCAGGATGGTTATTTGGTGTAGCATCGGACTAACTGCCGAAGGATCCGGGTTCGAACCTAGGTTATTGTCACTCTCCTTTTTTTCCTTTCAAGGATGATAAGTGAGTACCACTCTGTAGGAAGCAAACAGGAGAATGACTACACACTACGTTTGCCCACATAGTCGCTGCCGATTCTACCTTTAAAATAAGGCACCTCTGACTGATGGCACAGAAGTGGAGATCAGCGCCCTTGTCATTTACTTCAAGAACGGAAGGGCTCCAGAAATGGCTCCATTATGAAAATGTAGGAAAGGCCGACATTCCAAGGGTTGCAGATTTTCCTTTTTTCTGCTATCCCTGACGCAGTTGTTGGAGGCTTTGTAGCATTTCATTGCTTTGGTATTTTTTAGTCAACCTACCCAGTGGTTAAATCGCTCCTCACCCTGTGGCGTCGCCTTGATATGATCAGTTACTCCTCGGTTTCGGATGCACAGCTTATTTCGCTACATTCTGTTATTCGTTCTCTGTCATATCGCTGCACTGTATCTGATGTCTTAGAAAAAAAGTTGAACCTTCCAAGATTATGCAGTGTTTACAAAAATTGATTCCGGTATGTTGGACTACTACGAAACCGCTAGAACTAAGATTGACAGCGTGACTCTGTCGTGTAAATCTGAAGAAGTACTACCGAATATTCGGTTATTATTCATAGTGCGCTGTTTTGCAGGCTACTGACATTTATAGTAAGTTCAGTAAGTGAAGTACGTGCTTCCACATGTGCACGCATTTGAGACTGTGCTCGAAACGCCAGCAGCAAACTTAACGTCATCAAAAAGATCCCTAAAATATAGCAGTAATTGCTATTCCTTTGCCTTGGTAATGCGTTCGCATCAGCTTACGAGCTCAGAGTCTGGAGGCATGGAGAACCACAAGATTGAGGATATAAAACATCTTCAAATCCATTAGGATCTGAAGCATTCTTTCGCTCATTCACATGCGTTCCATTACCGTCCGACGCTGACTGCAAATGGGACTAACTTCGTGAATTTCATGGTGCCAAAACTTATTCAGAAGGTTCCGCTCTCTTGTACGATTTCGCAGGACATTAAACATTTTAGGCTAATGTGCCAGAATGTACTAATAACCGCATAATTCTTCCAAAAGCAGATTTCACACAGTACTGCATGTAATTATACTTAGAATAGTTCTGTATGTTCAAATAGTTGTTCATATACTGAACATATTTTAATATAACATAAATATATGATATAATGACGAATGACTCACCCAAGACAGCATTCAACGGCGTATTGCACTGCCCCCTGCTCCTGATTGTCT